AGGTTTAGAGTGAGAAATAAGAGTCATTAATTTTTCAAGCAGCAAGCAGGGCATTCCCCTCAAATATGACCACTGTAACAATATAAGTATGATCTGGTGGCCAATGGCATGTTCTTTGTCAGTGACTCTTAGAACATGAGAGGAGCAAAAGCAAGGTAAGTAGAGGGAGGGATTATATATTTGATAGTGACCTGAACAAACCTAGGGGATTACACACATGCTTTTATAATAAAAACATTAGCATTAAGAGTTTTCTAACTTTTATTTCATCATATTACTATAAATTCCCCTAACACTCTGTTTTTGACAGGTTTTTGATGGTAGTGGATCGTTTTTGTCCTACATTAACACATCTGCCGACCCACTCTACGGTCCCCAAGGCCTGGCCCTGACTTCAGATGGCCACGTTGTGGTTGCAGACTCTGGAAACCACTGTTTCAAGGTCTACCGGTACTTGCAGTAACAGTGGGCGGCTGGACAGCCCCTTACAAAGGTCTTGCACTACAAACTGGAACGGATTTCTCGGCGCGGGACCAGATTATACTAGACCTTTCATGCTAGAAGGAATCATTGGTGAACTTTCCAAGGTTATTTCTGAATGTAACAATTTCCTTAAAAACTGCATATCTGATTCCTGTAATTGACCTTTAGGGTTAAAAAAAAAAATCTCTTCTACTGAATCTATAAAACTGGCAAAGTTTTACACCTGTGAACTATGGCTTATAGGACAGGGATTTATGTAATTAAACTAATTGTGCAAATCAAATAAGCATTAAAAAATACCTAGAAATTTAAAGGTATTTGTTAATCCTGTGAATGGCAGCCTTCGCACAGAGCTTCCAAAAACAAAACAAAAACAAAAACAAAATCTGTTGTAGTTATATACTTTAACCTCGGTGACAAGACCTGGGGATCTTCTAACCTCACTTTTACACTAGGTATTACTCTTGTGACATTTTTTGGTTATCAATAACTACATATAAATTACTTTAGGAAAAAAATTAAGACTGTCTTGCAAAATCCTCTCATCTGCAATTAGCAGGCCTCCGAGTTTAGCACTTAAAAATAAATGCAAATTTTCCATCCTTCCTGGGTTAGATCGGAGATCCTATTTTTGTGTTCTTTTCACCTTCTCTCTCCTACTCACCTTGTATCAAAAAACAAAGTACATTTTAAGGGAAACCTGAAATTCCTAATGCTTTGAAAAGCATATTACATCAGTAATGCTACCTGTTGGTAAACAGCAGCCCCACTCCAGATCAATGGACTGGAATGTAATCAAGAAACAGTTAGTCATGTTTTATGTGCCATGTTCTCATGTGTGTCTCCTCTTCCACTTCATGAAAGCGCAAGCTTTACCTCCTGCAAAATGTCAGCACATGTAGTAGGACACCAGTATCCTAGGACAGAGAGCCATAAGTAGCCCTTTGGAGGACGAATGGTGTCAACCAAAGGCATGTGATTGAGTAATGGTTTCCCCTTAGAAAGCAAGTGTTACCAAAGTTGTGAAAGCATTACAGGTAAGGGCATGTTATGGTTATTTATCATTGTCTAATGAATAGTAGAGGCATTAAAGGACTATGTATACATGATTAGGTAAGGTAGAATGTATCATATATATCTATATATATAGCTGAATCTTTGGTGTATTGAAATAGGCAGCACTCTGAAAGACAGAAGCTTCGCCCAGCCTTTCTTCAGCACATTCCTTTTAGAACAAGCCCTAAAGCAGATTTAAATTTTTTTGCCATTTTCCAGGAATGATGGTATCGGCTGACTTTGCATCAGAAAATGGCCTTCTGGTCTTTCAAAAAAACAAAAATAGGTCCAAAAAAGGAAAGTTGAACTTGAGTTACATTTAAACAAAGTATAAATGCATTTTGAGAAATGGTAAGAATAATTTAGTCAGTCATTAATCTGTCATTGGTACTGTAAACTAAGATGTGGTTTATTTTCACTGTTTAATTTTCTACTCAGTTCTACCAAATAGGATGTCATGTTTGGCATTTTTGATAATGACTTTGGGATCTTTTTCACTGAAAGCACCTTAGGACTGTACTATAAGAAAACATTTCCCATATGTATAATTATATGAATGTGATGTTTATTGCTTATTAATTTATAATTCAGTCACTCTCTTATATAGGAATTTTTTAAATTTAGAAGAGAAATCAAGCGACTTCCAGTTGTCTATCAAATTTATACCCAAATCAATCTCTGAAAAAAATTTTTTCAGAAAGATTTACATTTAGATTTAGTACTTTTTTAGTTAGGTAGAGTTTTCAAAATACTGAGATTGTGATAAAGATGTAAAAGTCAATAACATTTTTAGAATGTTAAGACTGTTTCCTAGCATTAGTGGAATAAGTCTTTGAATTTAAATCTTCATATTTAATGAGTGCCTACTAAGAACCAGGCTCTGTTCTAGGCACTGGGGACATAGTGATGAAGGAAACAGACAAAATTCCTGCCCCCTTGGAGCTTACACTCTAGGAGGGAATTTCATTTTGCCCTTTATTAATATTCTGCATAAAAGATAAGCTAGACTTCTGATAGCTCCTAGACTATTTAAAAGAAAACCTTTTAGATTGGTTAGATTAATTTTACCTTATTTTCACAAGTAAAAAAGTAAAAATGGCTTCCTATTTAGATTCTGTCACAGGCTATTGATGTTAAGACTAATTTACTTAAAGGTGTGGTTTTTTTTGCACAACATTTAAATGATATATGTGAATTTAGAAATTAACCACCTATCATACCATATAAGGCTGGATATCTCAATTAGTAGATTGAAGACAAAGCTAATTTTTTTACATGTCAATATTGGCACAAACTGGAATGAAAGAAAAGATACTTTGATTCAGACCTGTTTATCTGTTACTAAAACACATGCTATGGGCACTCCAGGAAACATGATATTTTTCCCCAAAAATATGTAATCATATATGTTAAAATATAAATAACACTTCATATTTGGATACATATGTGCATTTACTGTATTTCTTGGCAAGCATATTTTAGGGGGGAAAGTGCTGCTAAGATATGAATAGGCAAGATTTTAGTGAAATTTTGTCACATTCTATGGAAAATGGTTTCTGGTAAACTGAGAAGGATATTAAAATAAGTGACTTTTTTTCTGGGCTACCATTATTGCTTGATTTCTCTTTGTCAAGTGTACAGAACCTGTCATACATTCATGATAAGTAGCACTGAAAAATTACCCATTAAAATTTCCCCTGGGCACTATGGTAAAATATTGCCAGTTAGAATGTAAAGGTCAGTGACAATGCATTCCCTCCCAAAACAGACCTCCCCTGCTGGACATGGGGGGGTCGAGATCACTTGACCATCCAGAAACACATGAATAATAAGTCTTTATGACTTTGCCATTTTTAATGGTACTTAGTATTTTGATCAAACTTTCATCTCCAGTAACTAAACAAGTCCCCAAGTTTCCTTATTTTCATTTATTTTTTTTACTAGATTTGAGGCAAATAAATACTACAGGTCCATGAAACTAGAACACACTTGCTTCTACTACTAAATATACAGGGTATGTCCTAACATAGAGTTAACTGGAATAGCAGTACACTAGCAAGTGACTATGGATCCTTAACAGTAAAGGATTCACATAAATGCTTTGGTAATACCTATTGAGTTAATTGGAAAGAATGCCAAATAAATATCAGGTCATCTGCAGATTGCTTCAAATGGGAAAAATCTTTTTGTACATTAGAACTCTACAGTATCCTCTCTATTCACCAGCTTGTGAAAAGGGAGGAGTATATTTGGTTTAATAATTTTTAAAATGACATTTCCAGGTAGGATAAAATTAAAGCTATTTGCTGCAAACATTATCTAATTTTGCTTAAAACCGAAAGTTGTAATACTGTTGCATTCTGTAAACGTTGCAGGGTTTTAAATTTTACAATTATTTTAATATTTTTGATAACTAGGAATCTAGTATTGCCATAAAGGAACTAAGTGCCCATTAAAGATTTGTTTGGTATAAATAAATAATTTTTTGGTTTGTTTTAAATGACAGTAAGCTACAAATCATGGTGTTAACCTTAAACTTTATGAAGATGAATTGTGTGGCAGTGATTGTGCGGTTTGTTTGTGGAGAATGTATGAAAGCTGTTAATATTCTAAAATCGATTAATCAATTGGCTATGTTGTTCCAATGAATGTACAGCATTTCCATTAACCTTTGAGAGCAGCACAGCCTTAAATCCAATGCTTTTGCTTTATGACATGGAATGTTTTGTCATCAAGAGTGTATTCTTGTAATAGGATTCTTTATATCATTCTCAATTTTATAGTCTTTCAAGCCCATGTACAAGTATAAAGATTTTTTGCTTCCTTTTTTTTTCTTTAAAAGTTTTGTACATTCCATCCCTATCGGTCAGTTTCATACGTTTTGTGTATAGAACACGAAGACTTGCGCTCTCGGACGTCGATTCTGTTTGATAAATTCTCATTTGTTCTTTTATGAATCAAAACGCTGACTGCCTATTTAAAGAAAAGAATAATCGCTGTGCATCAGAGTGTTTGTATGTTCGTAGCTACGTACGTACCGCAGTATTTTGGATGCTTTAGTCTACAATAAAACTTTAATTCTGTCTTGAAACATAGGAGAAACAAGATTCATGTGTATTACCTTTACCATGCACAGAAATCTCAAAATCATTATAATAAAGATTGTTTTCTCCATTTCCGCGAATGCTTCTTTCCTTAACATTGGCTCTTTTACAGTGAAGGGAAATGAAGGAATGTTCTAGAGTAAGTGGAAGATAGCGGTACCTCAACCAAGACTTTTCGTTAGCGCCGAGGTCCCGCCCCACGCGGGCCGGCCTCTCGGCGGAGCCGCCAGGGGTCGCTGCGCGCCGTCGGGGAGAAGGCCGGTCTCTCCCACCGCTTCCCTTCCGTTGCTCCGCCCCCGGGGCGGGGTTGGCGCCAAAATCAAACCCTCGCGAGTGCGCTCCGCCCTCACCTCCGGCGCCGGCCCCGCCACCCGAAGACGCGCCCCCTGCGCCATGGTAAGAGCCGAGGCCGCGCTGCTGGGTCCACGTTCTCCCCTTTCTCTGTTTGCCCCAGTCTCCCGGCTGCAGGGATCCCGGCCCTGGTGGGCTTCGGGGCGGGTGCTCCGGCCCTGGGCCTCCAACGGGGAGGCTGCCACGTCGGCGCCCTGGCCCCCCCTCGCTTTCCGGGCTCGACGGGGTGGCCCTAAGCCCCTCGCCTACGGCGCAGCGCCGGGA